TAGCAAATAGATAGGCATAAAAGAGATAAAATACCTGATCCACTAGTATCTCGGCAAATATATGAACCTTCACCTATTTCAGCTTCTCAATAACAAGAAATTTCTTTGGCAGATATAAAAAAAAGATTTCAAGATGCATTAGTACAGCAAAAAACTGAATACTAGACTTTATTGGAAAAGCAGAACACCAAATTTCAAACACAGATGGCACAACAAAGCAAGAAAACTTCTCTACCAATTTCTTCTAAAAATATAGAGCAATTATGTAATTCATATGAAAGTGATAATCCCTTTGATGGGCCTCCTGTATCATATAACCCAGATAAATTACGTTTAGCAAGAATTGATAGATTAGAATCTATAATGAATAAAGTTGCAAACATGGTAGGTAGTATTGCAGATTCTGTAGGACAATTAACCAATCAATTAGGAAGAATGTTATTTAATGATCAATTTCGAAAGCCTTTCTATTGCAGTAATTGTGGACAGAAAGGGCATAAGAAAAATAATTGTCCTAGTTTAAATTCTGTAGCTAAATCAAATTTTATATATTACTACCCCAACTTCCATCTACACAATTTCAATACATGCCTTTAGCTTCAGATGACGATAGTGATAATAATAATGGTAGTTATAACAAAAAAAATAATAGATGGACTGGATATGATCAATTGGTAAAAAAAACAGATATTAGTAAATAAAAAGTTGTCTTCAGAATCTAGCCAGTCTGAAATATATGATGAGCTAATACCAAAGCTTTCACCAACAATACGTAAATGTGCTTGTCCCAAAGGGCTCCAGGAAAGGAATTAGATGAGTGGTTTTTATCTCTACAATATCTGAATGCAAATATAAATAATTTAGTGATTTTTGAATCTTTTTTAGATCCTGGAAGTGAATTTGGTGATATAAATGACCTGGCAATTAAGGCGCTTGGATGGAAGGCTGATAAGCCATCTGATTTTGCTATAAAGAGCAATTCCAAGCATATTACTGATTTATTAGAATGGTACACAAACGTGCCAGTTACTATGAAGGATGAAGAGGGTAAGACTGTCATAGTCATTGGAAATTTTGTACGTATAGATAATAGCGAACCTGAACTAATGCTATTTTTAGGTATGTCTAATATTCAAAAGCTTCAAAGTGTTCCCAAGCCAAATAAAAACCAGTTTCATATAAAGTTACATAGGAAGACCTATGTTATTCCAACATATAGCAAGGCCCCAGTAGCTAAGAAATCATCAAAAAAGGGGCAGAACCAAGTATCCACTGATTTTTCAGATAATTCTGAAAAAGACTTAAAAAAAAATGTGAAAATCTTGAAAAGTGCCTTTTGAAAACTGAGAAATGACTTGACTTGGCATTAAATACAAGTAAAATTTTAGTGAAAAGATGTTTTAAGCTTATAGAGAAAAGATCGGATGTGTAACAATGTTTTTAGTAATATTTAATAATTTATTAAGATCAGATTCTTGTCTAGATGTATCATCTTTGAAAAAATTGACTATTCTATTTTTTTCCACTGAAGAAGATTCACCTTTTGCCTTCATACTATTTTTTTTTCGACTAACCTTATCTTTTCATTCACTAGTTACTGTATTTAGCCTTATATAGGAATTTGTACCATTTCTATCATTTCCAGAGTGCTCTGTATGAATAACATCATCTTCTTGTATGTTAGTAAGGTAGGTATCATGCTCAGCACTTACTGGCTATAAAGATTCCTGGTTATTTTCTGAAATCCGATCAGAAATACTAACAGATTCTAAGATTCTACACTACTTCTTAGTTGGTTCAGGTGTCTCTGATTATCAATTATTTTTTGATTTGTTGTTGCCTCTATATGATGTTTTTTATATATAATACATCAAGCATCCGGAATATTATTCTGAGCATTTCTGATTTCTTTAATAGCTTCAGGTGACAAGCGGGTAGTATCTGATCTAAGAAATTTACGAGTACAGGTTAATAGTTTTTTACTCATAACTTGTTAATAATAAATTTTTATGATACCAATAAAAAACTTGTAAAAAATTTATTTACTATCTGTTTGGTATTGGTCTGATATTGGTCTGATATTAGTTTGATATATATAGGGTAATTTGCTTCCTTTATTACATAGCTTGCTATAACTATAATCCAAATAAAAAATAAGTTTGAGATGTGTATAGTTTAAATATCATATTTGTCTTAAACTAGTTTATTTTTGGTTTGATATTAGTTTGATTCTGATTTTCTTTCTCCACATTCGAAGAAAAAAAATCATGTATATGAATGATTTTCATCAACCGCTTTTGCCAAAAAATTTTGATGCCATCTCAAAAATTATCAAGAAAAAAAATATATTTACATTCAAATAAATTTATATAACAAATGTGTATATGCTAAATGAGATAAATGGTGGGGTAGCTCTGGTATCTGGCAATAAACTTGAAGATTTGCCATCTAATTGATATCCGCCCAGCTGAACAGAGCTTGAGAACCAACTTACTTATACAAAATGTGACCTCGATATTGCTTTAAGCTTGGGTATTCAGCTTAGTACTAGATGTAATCTCTTGATAAAAATAATAAGAGCTTTTCAAAGTGTATATGCTAGCTTAAAAATAAGGTGAGAGAACTCAAAAATCAGATTACTCACAAAGATATTTCTCTTACAAGTGCTAAAAGCAAGATCATTACGAAATTGGAAGAGATATGGGCTCTCCAATTAAGAGTAGAAGAATTGGAGCAGAATCTTTCTTTAGTACAGGATGAGTTATCAGAAATAGAATCTCTCAAGAATGAATCTGAACTAGAAAATACTAACTTATTTTTAGCAAAATTGGACTTAGAAAAAACTCTGTTTAGAGAAAGAGATAAATTAATACAAATAAAGGATGATTTAGTTTCAGCATGAAAAGTATTATCAGAGAAAGATTTCCTTCTTCAAGAAGCTAATGCTTGTTTAGCAGAGCAGATTTCGAAAGCATCTAGTGAGACCAATGGGGTGATTGGAGATGTTAGTAGACTGAAGAAAGGTAACGGCATTACTAGGCCTAAAACAACCTCAGTATCACCCAATTCCTTCTTTTTTCAGCTAATGATCTTTCTCATAATACTATTATTAATCATATACTTTCTATAGTCCATCTTTTCTTATCTATATTCTTCTATTTCAACTTACAATGAAGAAAAAAATATTTCAAATTATAAAATACCATTAAATAGAAATCAGAGTTATGGATTCCCAATTCGATATGCAAAAGAACCAAAAAAAAGAACTACCTAAAGAATCCCAGAGGGGGCACCTCCCCCTATAAAGCTTTCCCTTATGGATATGGATGAGTCTACAAAGCACGAATCATCCTGAGCAAAAGGACATAAAGCATCGCCTGACTGACCCTTCACTATGCTAATCACTGGAAGAACTGGTATAAGTAAAACTAATATATTAGCAAATCTTGTTCTCAGAGATAAGAGTGAGCATATATACAAAGGATGGAAAGGAGGGGCCCGATATATTAGATGTAATGATTTGATAGTATGTGGTTATCATCTAGACGAACCAAAATGAGCTTTTGTATAATATATGTATGGTATAATTTCAAAAGATCCAAAAGCACCATATTATAAAAAATTCAGTTTAGCTACATTTCTCCTGAAAGGATTCCAAATGTAAAATCATTTTCATCAGAAAAGAGCACTGTTATTATTTTTAAGAACTTGTGCATTGCCTTAGAGTATATACAAAATTAAATTATCCCTTTCTTTACTCATGAGCGTTATAGAAACATCTTATCTATTTATATAATATAACGTTATCATAAAGTCTCTATTATTATTCGTGAAAACATCTCCCATCTAGTAATGTTTAATGGAGGCAGTAGCTATCAAGATGTGTCCAAGATAGCTGGTCGTTATACTGATGATATAAAAAATGCATTAATGGTCATTAATAGCTACCTTCAAAAAGGTGAATTTGTTGTATTTGACCTAGATAGATCTGAGGATGATCTTCTCACAATTTGGCTAAGATTTGATATTCTATTAAACCTGCAGAAGGAGATAGAAGCTAAGCAGAAGCACAAAGAAAGAAGCATGCAAGTTAATTTATAATTTTTACTTGCATAAGTGAGACAGACAAATAGTTCCACTAAGCAATTGTGTATGCAGATTATATAGCTCTAACTGGTTCAAAGACTATCCAATTTAGTTGATACATTAATTGATTTTGCTTCTCTTTTGCCCAAATTCTAGCACTATACATGGTATGACCATAAAGTGAATTAAAAAAATCGATTTTCCTATTAAATTTTTTTAGCTCTCCATTAATATAATAATAACTCTCATTACAGGGAATAATACCTAAATATTTCCATCTCTCAGGAGTACTATCATTCCTTACCACTTTTCAAACTTATTTTGCTAAAGATTTGAATCTCTTCTTATAATTTCTATAAACTCGCTGGATAACTACTGCATAGAAATTCTCAAACTTATAGTTATATCATTTCGCAATCGAAAATCCCCAAGATTGCTTTATTGATCTTTCTAAACTTCTTAAAAAAAACTTTGTTATAGATTAGAGGGTCTAGCCCATGATGGCAAATCACAATATTTTACTCACATAAGTGTGACAGACAAATTGTTCTACTAAGTGATCATGCTATTCATTTCGCAAAAAATAAATTATACTATGGTTAAGTTGTAAGCTTTAGCTTACTAAATATAGTTGAGATAAATAACTATAATTAAAATACTTCTTGGAATCAATCAATCAATCAGTCAGGTTAGTTAAACAATTATAATTTCTGTTCTGTCTTTCAATCTTAATATAGTATCTTTTAGTAGATTAAGGTAAGATGGTAGTAAATTAATTTGTTTTGCAAAAAGAGACGAGATAAATAATTTAGTTGTATTTCCCTCTCTGGGTCTATTAGTATTAATTGAGCTAAATATACTTACACTACATTGCATAAGAGGAGTAGTTATCTTGGAACTAGTCAATGAATGTAATTTATCTGGTCCCAAAGGAACCTCTTCAGTTTTAGCTTTGGAACATTTATTATCCCAATAATATTTCATCAAGTCTTCAGGTTTGACTTCATAGCTCCATCTGCAATATCCATTAAAATATACTTTTTTCGGTTTTACTTCAGTAATTTTTACCAATTTCCAGCATTTGAAACAAATAGCCATTTCACTCTTGTGAACTCTAGGCCTGCGATATTCATATAGAATATCTATTAATTCACCATTGATATGGTTGTAATACGCCTTGGTTATTCTTTCTCCAAATAAAGTAAAGAGGCAAAATATATAATAAACACTATATTCTCACTTAGAAAGTAGTTCTTGTAGAGGCTTATTACACGATTAGCCCATTGCTGAGGTGTTTCATGAGGCCTAATAATAGATAAATAATTATATTGTTTTTCTATTTCAACTACTTTTTTATAGCGATAGTCATCAGTTTGAGGTCAATAGTTAAAAACATGTTCCATATCATAGTCAGGACAGAGATTGTTAGGTTTAGATACTCTTTTATTATAAATATCATCTATTATAATTTTAACTATGTTATCAGACATATTTAGCAATTTATAGCAATTTCGCTGATTTTATTGATTTAAAGCAATTTTAATATCTTATAGTAGTTTGTAACAAGTATAGTATCATAAATATCTGATTTATTTTTATTTTATATTGACACTTTTCTACCTGTATCAAAAGTAGATAAAAAAAAATTTAATATAAAAAATATATCACTTAATTGTGATCTCAAGAATAGCATTAGGAAAGTGGTAGACAACCATCATAATCTTTAGAAATCTGCATATAAATAACCTAATATATATGCTTCTACCTGAAGAAATTCGCCTTTATCTAGAAAGGTTTCACTTATGCAAGTTATTATAGTTGAGTAGTATTCCATATAAAAAATTAAGAAATAAGATTAAAATTATATTTTACGCTATCCGGCTAATCATCCAATTGATTTTTTTGCAGACTAAACAAACCACTCAAGTCAAAGTACTAGACCACCAGCAATAATGATTATACCCTTTCGAATACACAACACACATAGTCAGAGGCTCTATCATCAAGAGGTGAAGACTCAAGCGAAATTTTTTGCATAACTATACATATCTGTAACAAGTAACCTGGTGGTCGATCTATCAACACAATATAATCTCGTGCAAGAAATAAAAATGTATTATTTACCCGATTCATCCAGCATAACTTAAAAATTTTTAGATTAGACCCTCTCTTATCTGTCATTCTATGGGAGATAATTTATCCTGCTTGTTTACTCTAATAGCTTTTCTTTTTTTCGAATGAATGTAAGAAAAAGAATTTCGAGGTGGATACATTCAAACTATTTCTCATCTTGTAGCTCAGTGGACTAAACCACGGGAAGCTCATCGGGTTTTCCTCTCCTTGCTACATAGACAATTATAGTTTAATAATCACGCCCTCATAGTGTTTTTATAAATATAAAAAAATAAAGTCAGAGGCTCTATCGGCTAAAGTTATAGACAAAATTTTTTGCATAACTATTAGAAAAAAACTATAGTGAGGTGGATATATTCAAACTATTTTTTATCTTGTAGTTCGGTAGACTAAACTGCAGGAAGCTCATTTGGTCTTCTCCTTACTACATAGGCAATGATAGTTGACGATCACATCCTCAAAGCAGTATCATTATAATAAAAGAAAAAATAAATTGCAGAAAGGTAATAGTTAGATCCTAGGCCCATCTCGAAAGGCTATAACTACACCTGAGAAGACTATACCCACTTTTTTCTCACAAGCTCGAAAAAAGATATACTTTTAAAAAATTAATAACTATCTATATCTGGCTTCGAGTGATTTATTACAAGAAGGCGAGGTGTGGTTAGATTGTGTATTTTTACAGACAAGACAAATCACCTTCGTTAAAGCACAGGACTATTATGGCTCTGTTGAATTTCACAAATCTATGCAAATAACTTGAGAAATCGTCTTATCGATATGAAGGCAAGATGGAATATCAGTAAAAAAATTGCTCTAAAGGAATTTATATAATCTAAATTAGCACTATTATTATGTGGTTATATATATCAATATCTAGTTTTGGGCTGTGTATAAATTTGATGCAGAGCATATTATTAATAACAATATGTTTGTTTTCAAGAAGCGGTTTTATCTGATAATAAAAAGCATTCGATCAACATGCATCATGATTTTTGGGACTGGATTTTGATATATTTGGCACTTCAGCTATTTACAAATTTAAAATAAGTGTATATACTGGGCCATGAATATTTGAGGTTTGTTTTCAAAAATACTTGTAAATATATATGTGCACTTTTTTAATATAACCATGTTTTATCAACTGCTTTTTTTTACCCAAATTCAGAACAGAACTTTGCACTAAGATCCTTTTATTATAAATTACAGCTTATTTTTATTAGTTCAATATATACTGTAATAATCTGACAAGAAGCAGTATGCAATATAAATGACTCAGTATTGTGATAATTTAATACAAGTCAACTAATAATATTTTTTATTTGGCATCTTAACATAGCATGATTAATTAATTAAATTGTGTAGAAATGCATATTTGCTTATACAGTATAAAAAATTTACAAGCCATGGTATATCCATGCCAAATTTACAAATTTGGAATAACTGTTATATTGGTCAAACATCTACTATTTTGATTTTTTATTAATATAAATGTGTGTTAAACACAACCATGTAACAGTAATCTAATTTTTTATCGTTGATAGAAGTTCATGGCTGTCAAAATCATGAGATTTATCTCGGCACCGATCTATGCTGAAATGGGTACACAAAAACTCAAACTAATGGTACATTTGCACCAGAAAAAATAAAGTATTTATTATAACAGCCCCATAGGTCCGTATACATGTTTTTGAAATAACTATTAGGAGATATTCGGATTACAATTATAAATTATTTTTTATTACTATTATAAGTATGTCTCAACAGCACTTTGACAGCACTTCGACAGTGGCTTAGACAATTTTATATATGTTTATTATGAAAAAGTCAATAGCACTCAATATTCATGTTTATCAGTTCGAGTGTGCAATAAAAATTTGACTGGCTTTAATAATTAATGGCCTGCATTAAATTTTATGTGGTGTTACTCTCTTGCAGAATCATTTCTAACAGTGCGATTTTTTTATTAACAAATATTATAAATAATACGAATAATGTCTAGACCCTTTTTTTTAATTTATACGATCTCACGATAAGAATGAGACTTAAAAAGGCTATAAGGGCAATAAGTATAACATTCTTAATCAGTAGTTTTATCAAAATTCATATATTACAAGGACTTCGAATCTCTGCTATCACTGAGATTGTCAGATCTAAACCCACCTTAAGCGATCGTCAAATCTAAGGGGAGATAATTTTACCAGAAAAAAATAACAAAATAGATTCAGCATTTTGAACTTATGACTGAATAGACTTGCTTTACATGGTGTAATTTAGATTGAGTTATCTTAACCCAATTACTAAACATCTAACTTTTTTTCTGGCAAGTTTTTTTAAATCTAGCGAATCGATAGTATAAAAATAAGCAAGTTCCCTGCCTATAAGATAAGTTAGCAATAACGATATTTTTTGCTCATATATTTTTTACTTGATTTACTTGCTGAATTTTTTTTTACAGTAAAAAGTAATGTTTTTGCTATTTAACAGAGACTATGAAGACGAATTTTTACTTACTATGATTTTTTGTATTTAGGATCGAAAATGTTCAGTACTAACAATATCCCCAAGGCTAACGAACCAAACCCTAAGACTAACAAATATGTTTATCTTAACTGTCTCATTATGCTCTGCTTACCGTATCATTTTTTTAAAATTAAAGTTTTTAATGGAAATGGTGTTCAATCATTAGAAACTCAAGTTCAAGCCCGCTTGTTTCTATTACCATCTGATGCAACTAGTACACCTCACCGGCTTCTTAGATTTTGCTCCATCCAAAATATATACGTAAATATACAAGCTTATACTGATCTTTATACTCTTTACAAAAATAATTATGATCAAAATATTATTCATATACTTGTAAAACAATTACTAGAAACAAAAACAGAAATTTGGATTTTTTTTATTTGTATTCGCTTCTGAAACAGCAATATATATATTTTTTATTTGTATATTGCCGTCCCAGCAATATAATTTTTTATAATAATAAAGGGAGGGGCCCACTGGGCTTTCAATTTTTTATTTTTATATAATTTTTTACAATGTAGTTTGTAAACTACCTTCTCGTGATTTTATCACTCGAAGTCAGGAAGTAGATAAACTCTGAATTGATTAATACATTTCTTTTTTTGAGTTTGCGAGAAAAAAATGAGACTATTGAGTTAATCTATACTATTACGGTTATATTAGATTCCAGTATAAGCATTCCAACATTTACACAATCGTGTGTTGATACTGGCCTATGCTATGATCATGAACTTGAGTTCATTGCTTGAACTGTTGCAGGCAAGGCAATATTCTGTTTCATTTCTATTCCCATGTTTTCTATCACAAATAGGGTATGGTGAGCTCCACAGCTGAGGTGATGCAAAATTATAATTATCAATTCTTCAAACTATTTCAGAACTTCAAGTATGGGAAGTGCTCTAAGATGAATTTGATAATTAATTCTGGATTGGGTCTGGCTTCAAAAGTGATAGACTTGAAATCAGGGGCTTGAGGTTTTGCTGACACTATCACAGCTTTTGATAATTGTCACAACTCATATCCAGTTTCTTTTTTATATTTTTTATATAAGTTCAACTAAATCTTATCTGTCAAAATGCTTGGTAACCCACTTAATTTGACATGCCAATCCAGATATTCGGGGGTTAATACTTTATTGAACTTGGTTATATTGTCTTTTTATATAATTGCAAATCAATTTAAATTAGGTAATAGCTGATATAGACTAACCCTGTAAAAAAATAGGCTATAAAATTATGAAACTATGCAACTATCTCAATTTCATGCTATTCGCATTTAATAAAGTAAGATCCGGCTTTATATCTACCTTCTATTTCTTCATCATTATGACCTAATTTGCATAATGGGCAGATAGTCTCTCTCGAGATCCCGCATAATATCTTGTCAGTAATGCCATAATAATCAAAATTTCCACTACTAAATTCTCTATATAAATTAAAATACTCATCTAATGTCTTGTTGCGAAAATATGCTCGGTCATAAGTCAGATTGGCTGGAGTATTTACCTTAGTTTCCAGTAAAGATTTGTTATTCTCACTTATCATATCTTCCGAATTAGAGATATGAGATGATTCAGTAGGTATACTTGTCTTAATATTTGATGTGTCTTTTGAGCTAGATGGTTCAGTCACATGTGCATGACAATTTGTCACACAGATCATATCTGTCGATGACTTGGGAAAATCGTTTATGAGGTTTTGAATTTGAATATCCTTTAGACTCGAAATAGCACTTGTGCTGTAAGTTATTTGACTAATTTTATCAATTCCTATTCCTTTATAGAATATATATACTTTTTTTGCTCTGAAAGTTATTTTATACAAGTTTACATCAGTAATATCGGGAAGGAGCGATTTGATTTCATTATATACTATCATTCTTGCCGATTGGTCATCAATATTATTCACAAACTTAACATCACTAATTCGATTTTCGTATGTCTTATAATAACAATACCAGCACAGACTTTCCTTTTGTCGAACCTTCATTGCTACCTTAAATAGATCAACTATATTTTGTGATGTAACTTTACTAGATCCTGTTAAAATCGCTTCTAAAGAGAATTCAGGAACCTGAATATCAAATACTTTATTAATCTTATGGTTATTATCTTTGGTGCAAATAAATAGCTCGAGTCTTAAACCTCGTTCTACTTTTTGGTTATAAGGAATTTTCTGATTAGACAATAGATTAGTAGGTGATTTGACCTCAGAACTTATTTCTGAAATGTTCAGATTTGATGAGTCATAGTCCCGAGACTTTGTTTCTTCCTTACTTACCTCAGTTGAATCCTTTGGATTCATTTCCAATGAATTATTATTTGAAAATAAATCTTCGAATCTAAGCTTCTTTTTCTGGTCTGAAGATAAATTTTCATTTGTATAATTTTTTTCAGAAGATATTTCCTGTATTAAAACTTCTTCCTTTTTCAGTTTATACAAATCATTGGTTGAAATAATATGGGGCACAGAAAACGAATCCTGTTTATTAGTTATTTCGGTATTGCAAGATATATCTAAAGAAATGTTATAGTTATCCGAAGACAAGTCTTGGAATTTGTTTTTACCTGATTTACGCAGAAGCTTCCTTTCCTTATTACGTTGTCTTATCTCATTACTAACCTTTTCCTTGTTTTTCTCATCTAAAAAATCGATCATCTCTTTATCTTCTAATAATTTGGCATTAGTATCGATACATTGATTTATAGCAGGGTCGGGTACATTAACATTCTCAGAAGAATTATCACCATCTTTTAATCTGTGTACAATATTGTTTTTCAACTGCTTCTGTTTCAATTTCGAAACTCTGGATCTAAGCTCATTAAGTTCAGAATCTCTTAATTTTGAATTCTCTGCACTTTCTTTTGCAGATTGTTCTAATTCTATTATTCTGACCATGAGTTCCGCTTCCTTAGCCAAGAATACAGTTATCTCCCCTTTAAGCTCAGTATTCTCAGCTTCAATCTCTGTAAACTTCTTTCTTAATTCATCAATTTTTAGGACAAACCTAGAATTTAATTCTCTTAATGATTCTATTGTGGGTTGCATATCTGCCATTGTTTTTATTTAAGATACGGATATATTCAATTCATCATGAAGATAAAAAGTCACGTGTGCGTAACGATTTGTCACGCGGACGCCAAGAAAAATTTTCGATCAGAACATCATAGAGAAGTAACACAATCATATATTTATTACATGTATTATTATTTTTCCGATGTACATGTTAAAAAGTACAAGCCTAGAGTTGGTCACCGAAACCTTTTTTGCCAAATCCGAAAGTTTCGGGTTTCGGATTATAGTTTCCGAAACCTCATC